CTATGAGTCGCAAGTGACTTGATGGCCCATAGGAACAACAACATGTATCTGATGAGGGACTTATCAAATAAGATTAAGTCAAGAACTCTTACAGCTCAACAATAAAACAGTTACTTCAGTAGGCAAAGAACTTGGATAGAGAATTATATTTCTCTAATGAAATATAAATGGTCAATAAATACATGAAAAGATACTTAACATCCTTACTTGCTAAGGAAATGCAAATAAAAACCACAATACAATAGTACTATTTCATATTCACTACTGTAGCTAAAGTTGGCACAGTCACTTTGGAAAATAGCTTGACAGTTCCTTAAAATGTTAGATACAAAGTTACCATATGACCAATAATTACACATCTGGTATATTCCCAAAAAAGAGCTCCATCTGACATACTTTGGGCATGTTGCAAGGAGGGACCAGTCCTTGGAGAGGGACTTCATGCTTGGGAGGGTGGAGGGACAGCGCAGGAGGGGAAGGCCCAGGATGAGATGGATTGACTCAGTGACTGGGGTAATGGGGGTAGGTATGTCAGAGATGATGAAATTGGCTCAGGATAGAGCAGGGCTCCAAGCTGTTGTACAGAGGGTCACTACGAGCAACTCAACAGCATATGACAACAACAACACAAACACTTGCACACATGTACCCTTAACAGTGTTATTAAAATATTGCCCAAGTGGATGGAAATAATCTAAAAGTGCACAAATGGATGGGTAAACATAATCATGCCATAATCATATGATGGGATATTATTCAGCCATCAAAAAAATATAGTACTGATACATGAGACCTTGATAATGATGTTCTAAGTAAAACAAAGCAAACACAAAAGGATAGAGGGAATCACAGAGGATTCCATGCCTACGGAATGTCCAGAAGACCCTACGGTGAGGGGTCACTTAAAAGAAGTGTTAGTTGTTGTTTTCAGTTGCCATCTAGTCAAGCCTATGACAACTCATAGTGACCCTATAAACAATGGCTCTGCACCTTGCTCTGTCCTCCGTTATCACTCAGGCCCATTGTGGAAAGTCACTGTGTCAGTCCATTTTGTTGCGGGTCTTCCTGTTTTTTCCTGACCATCCACCTTTCCCAGCTGGATACCTCTCTCCATGGGCTGGTTCCTCTTGAGAATATGCCCACAATAGGTGACACGAAGCTTCACCATCCTTGCCTCTCAGGAGCAGTCTGGTTATATTTCCTTCAAGACAAATGTGTTTGTTCTTTTGGCTGGCCACTTAATACTCTTTGCCAGCACCACAGTTCAAAGGCATCCTTTCTACTTCAGTCTTTTTTATTCATTGTTCAACTTTTGAATGCGTAGAAAGCAACTGAAAATAGCATGGATTGGATCAGGTCCATCTTGGTCTGATAGCTTTGCTCTTCTGAACTTCAGAGAGGTCTTCGACAGCAGATCTCGCCAATGTAAAACATTATTTGATTTCTTTTTTTATTGTCTTCAGCTATTTTTTTATTATTATTGTTTATTTGAGTTCTTGACAGTAGTTATCATGGGTATTGATTGGGGATGAAAATAAAATTAAATCATTGACAACTTCAGTCTTTTCTCCACCTATCCTTATGTTGCTTATTGATCCAGTGATGAGGTTTCTTGTTTTCTTGATGTTGAGCCATAACTCATATTGAAGGCTATAGTCTTTGATATTCTGCAGTAAGTACTTCAAGTCTTCCTCACTTTCTGCAAGCAAGATTGTGCCATCTGCATAATACAGGATATTGATGCCACATTCCTCTTCATACAGTCCAGCTTCTCAACTGATCTGTTCAACATACAGATTGAATAGATAAGGATACAACTCTAACACACACCTTTCCGGATTTTAAGCCATACAGTATTCCTTTGTTTTGTTTGGGTAACTACTTCTTGATCTATGTAGAGGTTTCACATAAGCACGATTTAGTGTTCTGGAATTCCCATTCTTCTCAATGTTAGTGATAATTTGTTATGATCCACATAGTCAAATGCCTTGGTATAATCAGTAAAACACAAGTAAACATCTTTCTGCTATTCTCTACTTTCAGCCAAGATCATTCTGACATCAGCAATTATACCCCTTATGCCACAGACTCTTCAAAATCTAGCTTGAATTTCTGGCAATTCCCTGCTGAAGTACTGTTGCAGGCATTTTAAATAATCTTTTGGAATATTTTAGTTGCAGATGATATAAATGATATTGTTTGGTAATTTCCATAGTCTGTTGAATGTGAACATATATGGATCTCTTCCATATTTGAAAGGTCTTGGGTGAGCATGTCCAGGGTGGCATCTATTTCTGGAAACAAGTCAATTAGTATTCCATCAATTCCTAGGGCCTTAGTTTCTGCCAATGCCTTCAGTGTAGTTTAGACTACTTTCAGTACTATTGGTTCTTGATTATATGCTATTTCCTGAAATGCTTCACTGTCAACCAATTCTTTTTGGTACAAGGAATGTGTGTATTCTTTTTATCTTCTTTTCCCCCCTCCACAATGTTATCTATAATGTGTTATTTTAATTTCTTTTTATTTTATATTGGTTTGCAGACAAAATTTGTGTACATTGTGTTTCATCCACACATACTGTGTTTCACACATGCCTTTTTTTGATGCTTCATCACTCGAGATTTTGCCCAGAGAATCCTTCAGTGTTGCAACTCAAGTCTTGTGTTCAGTCTTCAGTCCTTCTAGCTTGAGAAGTGCTGAGCATGTTCCTCCCTTTTGGTTTTCTAACTCCAGCTCCTTGCACATTTCAGTATAATACTTTGCTTAGTCTTCCCAAGCTGCCCTTTTGAAGTCTTCTGTCCAGCTCTCCTACCTCAGCGTTCCTTCCCCTTGATTTGGCTTCTTTTCATCCAGTGCAAGTTTCACAGTCTGTTCTAACATCCATGTTGCTCTTTTCTTTCCCCTCTGTCTTGTAATGATGTGTGACTTACTTCATGGATGATGTCCTTGATGTCCTCCCACAGTTCACTTGGTCTTCGTTTATTAGTGCTCAATGCGTGAAATCGATAAGATCTGTCATCTGCAGAGCTGCTATAAATCAGTCAGCTCGACGGCACCTAACAACAACAATAACAACTATCTCCATGAGAAAAAGATGTGGCAGTCCGCTCCTGTCAAGATTGACCGTCTTAGAACCCTTTGGGACAAGCTTCTCCATCCTATAACTCTGCGCAACTCATTGCTGTCAAGTCAGAAACTCCTCAGAGCTGCTGACCCTCCAGCAGGTTCTCAGAGGCTGTAAATCACACCAGAGGAGATTGCTCATCTTACTCCCGCAGAGAAGCTGGTGGACTTGAACTGCCTGCCTTTGGTCTGGCAGCGCAACATTTTACCACTGGGCCACTAGAGCATTATCTTTTAGAATCAACTTAGTGGCAATGGGTTTCACACATAGGTAAGTTCCCCACCTTCCCTTCCTTTCCCACATATCAACCTCTAAGAGCAAGGAAGCTGAGATTCCTGCATGGAAGTGGAGGCCTACCCTAAGGGGACCTGTCCAGTGACAGCGGGAAAAAGGACCAGACAATTAAAATCTGCTTCCCAACTCCCAACCCACCATAACTCCTTTGCCCATTGCAGAGATTGGTGTGGGCATCACCGGCTTCGGCATCTTCTTCATCCTCTTTGGAATACTCCTGTACTTTGATTCCGTGCTCCTGGCCTTTGGAAACGTGAGTCCCCCAGCCCTCTCTTCCCACAATCTCTCTGTGATCCCTACTGCCAGGTGAGTTAACTCAGAGACCATTCAGGTTGTGCCCACCCACATAGAAGGTTCTGTCAGTCCTGGGCAGGTGACGGGGAGAGAGCACTGCCCATTGGCTGTGGAGAATCTCGGCTGCGCAAAGACCTCGGTTCTCATGGCAAGCTCTGGGTGACACTTTCGGTGGGGGGGAGGGGGCATACCAGGATGAGACACCGTTTTTACTATCAGATTTGGTGATAGGAATATAGGTGTCATAACAGGGAAGGTGGAGAGGGACAGTGTGAAGATCAGGGTAAGAGAAACCCATTTAATATAAAACAAAATGCCTAGGGGGAAGAGAACATACTTGGAGAAGGATAAACAGAAACTTAGAAGGGAAGATGGCTGTAGGGCTAGATAAAGCACTTACAAGTGTCTGGAACAGAGAGGGGGCAGGTACAGGGAAGTGAAAGCAGAGGGCCGGCCAGGAGAAAGTCAGAGGGTTAACTTAATCAGAGCTAGGCCCCACCAAGGCAGGGTTAGGAGCCAGGATGAAGACACTGATAGGGCCTCATGGCAGAAGGTCTGGAAAACAATTCTATAGTCAGTGGAGCCAAGAGAGGTTTCGCGTGACTTGGAGTAGGGCTGTCTTAACTGTCTAGGCCTCCATCGTTCGTTTTGTAAAATGAGCAGAGTCTCATTGCTTACCCCTTCTTTCCTAGAGAGGAAGTCATAGGGGAAGAATTACTTGGGAGCTAAGTGGTTGGAGTGTGTGTGTGGGGGGGAAGCCAGAGACCTTCACAGTCACCTCCTTGCGCAGCCCCCTGCCTCTGAACAGTTGCACTCCCATCCAGAGTCTCTGGGATTTTGTCAGGTTCCTGGATAACCTTCTCTGATACCATCTCCCTATGAAGAGTCAGCAAGCTGTGCCCCACGCCTGACCAGACGCGCCCCTGACCCCTGAAGAGGAGGTGTGCTTGCTCTCATGCTCCTCTTCCTCCCACAGCTGCTGTTTCTCACTGGCCTGTCCTTCATCATTGGCCTGAGGAGGACCTTCTCCTTCTTCTTCCAACGGCACAAGGTCAAGGGCACCAGCTTCTTCCTGGGGGGTGTGGCCATCGTGCTCCTGCGCTGGCCGCTCCTGGGCATGTTGCTGGAAACCTACGGGTTCTTCAACCTCTTCAGGTGAGTGTGTGTCCTTGGTACCACGGACAGGTCACCAAGGTCCTGAGAGTTGAGACCACCCGCAGGTGTGGGCAGCCCAAGCTGCAGGGAAGTGGAAGTTGGAACTTTGTTCTCTAAGAGATGGGAGGCGTGGAAAGACTGAAAAGGAGAAGGGACACTAGCTGATGCTTTGGAAAGGCCCCTCTATTAGCAGGCTGCTGGACACGCTGGAGGGATCAACTTATTCATTAGTAAACATTGTGCACTTACTGCATACCCAACACTGCACCTGTCACCAGGCAAGAGACGTGAAGCCCTAATGAGTCTACTAGGAGGAATGGTCATGGACCAACGTACACCCAGCCTCTAATTTGCACCAACTGCACATACAATCATCACCTCGTTTTATCCTCTTCCTTCTAAGATGTCCCTTGACTTTGCAGAAAAGAAAACCAAAACTGAGAGATTGCTGCTGACCAAAGTCTCACAGCTAGTGTACAAAGGACCTTGAACTTGATCAAGTGTCTCTTTCTTGGCTCCACACCAATTACCCTGTCCTGTGTCAGCCCTGGGCCTAGTGACTGGTGTGTGGGACTCAGAGATGACAGGTGATCACATAACATCAGGGCTGAGGGAGCCCAAAAGAGGGCTCTCAAGCAGGTGCTTGAAAAGAAGAGGGCCCTGAGGTGGGCCTTAGGGGATGTGTGTGTGTGTGTGTGTGTGTGTGTGTGTGTGTGTGTGTGTGTCTAAAAGACTGGGGTTTCTCAAGGAGAAGAAAAGACAGCTGTGCCGGTAAGAATAGGAGGCCAGACTCCTACGTCTATGGGATGATGTGGAGAGAATAGAGGTGAGTGGGGAAATCAGAGACTGGGAGAGTCATGGCTCATGGAATCATGGGATGGAGCTGGGATCCAGAACCACTCCTGTAGGAGCCCTCAGCCTGCTTAGTGCAGCCTTGAAAGCACCTGATTCACCTGAATGTCCTCGAGTAGCGTGCGGTACAGCATTGAGAAACTAAACATTCTCAACCACGTACTCTATCACTTATGTACTCAGTATTTATATATGTCATTATTCAAACTGTCAAATACTGTATATATAGTTGTTCTTGTTGTGTGTCATCCAATAGGTTCTGCTCATATTGACCCCACATGACAGGATAGAACTGCCCCCGGGGGCTTCTGAGGCTGTGAGTTTCACAGCAGCAAATATTGGAGCAGTTTCTGCCAGGATTAGAACCACCGAACTTTTGGTTAGCAGCTAAGCATGAAGGTGACAATAAGGACCGACTGTAAAGGAACTCTGGTATTAGTTTCCAAAAGGTCAGAGATTTGAATCCACCAGCAACTCCGAAGGAGAGAGATGGGTAGTCACCTCCCATTGAGATTTACAGTCTCGGAAACCTCAGAGGGCTTTTCAACTTTTAGAAGTCAAGTCTGAGCTTTTTTTTTTACAATTAGTCACATCTATATAAGTAATAAAATATTTGAGCCGTGGGAAATGGAGACCCAAGGAAAGGAAGCAGCTGAGCCATAATTAAAAGTTGACACGTAATCCTCCTCAGCTCTTGGCTCTACACAGGCTCCCTCCCACCCCCCAAACCCTGGAAGTTCCCCTCTAGAAATTACACCAGCCTTTGTGTTAAGGGAGGAGGCTTGTTGGCATAATGTGCCGTGTGTTGGACTCACAACTAAAAGGTTAGTAGTTTGAATCCACCATTCACTCCATGGTAGAAAGACAGGCAGTCTCCTCCTGCAACATTTTAAAGCTTTGAGAGTCCAGTGGAGGGTCAGTGTAAATGATGGGCAGATTCCTCCCATGGTGGGTTCGCTGACTCAACAGCAGTGAGTTAAGGAGGAACCCTGGTGGCTAAATGCTTAGCTGCTCACCTCAAGGTCGCTGGCTGCTCCCTGGAAAAAGTCTGAGGCAGTCGGCTTCCACAGGAGGCAGAGAGAGCAATGTGTTTCCATGAATATTTACAGTCTTGGAGACCTGGGGCCTTCTGCTCTCTCCTGCAGAGTCACTAGGAGTCAAAACTCCACTCAGCAATGATGGATTTGTGAAGGCTTCTATTATTATTTCCCTTTTGTACAGCTTCAAACTGAGAGGAAGAGATTTTCATGAAAGTTGCCAAGTTTGTACAGTCCCAGTATGTGAAGGATGTGAACTCCAGGGGCCTATATTCTGAACCTCTTCACTCGGGCACCTCTCAATGAACAGGGGTGCACAGCCGAGCCTGCCCCCCAGGTGGCCGTGTTCTCTTTGTACCTAAGCCCCTTCCTCCCTCCCTCTCCCTTCTCTCCCCCTAATTAGGCAGATTTACATTGCATTTCCTTACATTGCTATTCTCCTGGTAAATGTAGCACAACATTTAACATTCTAATAGTTTTCACGTGCACAGTTCCATAGTACTAATTGTGTAGATTGTGCAATTCAACCATCACCTTTATTTGTTCCCAATCACCTTGGACAGAAGCCCCACATCCCCCAGACAGTAGCCCTCCTTCCCGCTCGCCCCTGCTGACCCCTGGTCTCTGCACATTCCCCTGCTGCAGCTCGTGCAAGTGGGATCATCCCATGACTGACACTGTTTGGAGCGTCGAACAGGGCTTCATTTAAGCCTGCATCTTCTGGTAGACTTCAGATTCGCTTCCCGTTTTCTCTCCCCTCTGACTCGTCACTCCTCTGCTCCTAGGGGCTTTTTCCCTGTCGCCTTTGGCTTCCTGGGCAGCGCCTTCAACATCCCCTTCCTGAGTGCGGTGAGTAGGGGACGCCTATTCTGGGTGATGGCGGTGGCCTGGGCTTTGCTGAACTGCTTGTCCCATTGCTCCTTCCCCATCTGACAAGAGCAGATGAAGAGAGCTGTGGGCGGTTATACTTAAGGGGTGAGTGTAGATTCTGGGTGGTCCCAGCTGAGTGTCTGGGATTTTTGAGACCCTGTAGAGGTCTGGGACCCAGACGTGCAGGGGACATGCTGTGACTGCCAAGGACCGATAGGAGAGCAGGTAGTACACTAGCCAGTGCCGTGAGATAGCCTTGGGAGCAGCCCCTCCCATCCCTTGCCCTTTTCTGAAGCCCTGGACAGAATATGAGTTTTCTGAGGAGCCCAGGGAAGCCCGAGGCCAGCTCATCAACGCCGCCAGCTGGGCCCCCCACGCAGCCCCTTCACGTCTGTTCCTGGCCCTGCTGCCGGCTCTCAAGGCCAGCCTTGTAATAACCTGCATCGAGTCTGTTCCCCATTATTTGTCTAACGATTTTTGGCTCCCACAGCTGTTCCGGAGGCTTCAAGGCTCCAGCTCAATGGTCTGAACGGCAGAGATGAGCTCCTCGGACGTGGCTTGTTGGGTGAGGTGGCTGAAGGGAAAGTGTGGGGGCCACCCCCTCCGATCTCCACGCTGCACTGACTCATCTCCCCATCATATCCAGACCACCTCACGCCCAGAAGGCAGGATGGAGCTGACTGACCCAGCGCAAAGTCTTGAGTCAATTCAAGAGGCTGCTGAGACTATAGGGGACAGACGTCCAGGTGTATGGACATCAGATCCGGTTGGCATCACATCCTCACCCTGTATTTATGGGAAGAAAAGCAAAGATTAAATCTCTAAGCTCCTGGTGTGTCTGAACCTGGAAAGCAGTGTCTCCAGCCCATTAAGTCCTTCACATCGCTGGGTAATCCCTGCTCTCGAACGGGCTGCTCTTCTTATCGTGGTGTTTAGAAGTCCCAACAAATGACAGTGTCTGCGGCTGGTCAACAAGAGACATCAGGCCAGTCATTAGCTTTGAGCCTGCTAGTCCTCAGGACATGTCTTTCAATCACTGAGGGCCCCTTGTGTACCAGTTGGTGTTATCAGGTGTCCTCAAGTTGATTCCACATCATGGTAACCCATGTGACAGAGTTGTTGTTGTTGTTGCTGTTGTTGTTGTTAGGTGCAATCAAACTTGAGTGCAACTCACAGCAAGCCTATGAACAACAGATGTGAACCCTGCTCTATCTTGCGCCGTTGTCACCATCTCTGACATGCTCTTGTTGCAGCCTCTGTGTCAGCTCATCTTGCTGGGGACTGCCCTCCCGCCCCCCACCTTGCCCCGCATGATGTCCTTGTCCAAGGATTGCCTTCCTGACAACATGCACAAAGTGCATGAGGCACAAAGTGCGAGGCAAAGCTTCATCCCTGCCCTAAGGAGCACGCTGGCTGCACTTCCTGTGAGGCAAACTTGTCTGTTCTGACAGTCGGTGGGATACTCGGTTCTCTTCTCCAACACCACAGCTCAAAAGCCTGGAACTGCCCGATACTGCTTTCTGGGTTGTAATCTTTACAGAAAGCTACATCTGACATAGAGCATGGTGCAAAGAGGGACTGGTCGTTGGAGAGGGACATCATGCTTGGAAGGGTGGAGGGATGGAGAAGGAGAGGGAGACCCTCGATGAGGTGGATTGATACAGTGACTGGGGTAATTAATGGGAGTGGGTGTGTCGGAGACAGTAAAGTTGGCACAGTGTAGAGCAGGGTTCAGGGCTTTTGTACATTGGGTTGCTATGAGTGGCAAGTGACTTGACAACACATAACCCTACCACCACAACAACAATCTTTACAGGGACAGAACACCAGGTTTTCATCCCATGGTGGTTTTGAACCACCATCCTTTAAGTTAGCAGCTGAATACTTAACCAGTGTGCTATCACGTGGGGAGTCCTCAAAGGCTCCTGAAAGAGACAAGAGTCCTTGGCAGTTAATCAATTTGCTATATATCCATAGAGGAGTGCATGTGTGTACCAAGCAAAAGAGTGAGGGGTGGTGGAGGGACCACCCTCCCCTCAGAGTATGGGCAAAGTCAGTTACAGACAGGAGCACTCATTGTCACAGTAGGATGGACACGCATGACAGAAGACACAGAGGTGGCCCCAGGAATAGCACCTTCTTACGTACTTTCATCAGCTCCAGATAAAGAAGGTCCACAAGAAGACCTTCAACAATTGCCTTTGATTTACAGCTTGACCTTTTTTAAGGCAAAGGCTTTCCTGTGGCTACATTTCTGTCTGTAGTGGTTTGGACTTGGCCTTGATGTATCCTGCATTGCCTTACAAAGCCCTGTACTGGGCCGAAGGCCGAGGCAGAGGGAGGCAGTCAGCTGTATAGAAGCCTTCTGATTTGAGAGGAAGCATCTCTTTCCTTTCAGCTTCTCCAGGGCCAGCATGGCGCCTGGACCACTGTCAGGTCACAAAGTTGTGCTACTTGGTGACAGAGGTAAGCACAGGCTTAAAGCTCACCCCTTGGAGTTTCCTTTAGCCTTTACCCACACCACTACCATCTTTCTGATTAGACCACATTTGTCTGACTGATTGCTGTCTTCATCCAGCATGGCAGACATTGGGAAGGTTATTGGTTCAAGACCATCATCTGCTTTGGAGGAGGCAAAGGAGATAAAATCATCCTTAGAATGACAGGAAGGGGGTAGATTAGGGTTGGAGGAGAATGGAAAAGCGTTACTTTTTTATAGGGAGGACGAGGAGTTAACTCAGCGTACACACTAAGCGGCAGCAGCCAGCTGGATTGCACTGTGAGATAATGACTGATTTAACATCTGCTTTGTGCTGGCTTTTCCATTTATCATCTAACTAGTAGACCTCAGAGCTCTGGTGGCCTAGTGGTAAGAAGCTGAGCTGCAATTCTGAAGGCTCACGGTTCAGACCCACCAGCAGCTCCACAAGAGAAACATGGGCAATCTCCTCCTTGCCTATTAAACCCCACTGGAGGGTCAGCTATGGGTTGGTTCTGATTAGATGGTACACAAAACCAACACCAACATGTGCTAGGTTTTCCATGTATTTTTTCACCAGTAATCTATGAGGGTAGCTTTGCTCTCAAAGAGGCTCTGGGGGGTTAGAGCACTTGCTCCAAGCAGCACAGTGAAGAAGTCTCACTCTGAAGCCAGACTCACCAACCCACCTAGAGACTGGTGAGTGAGGGAGGCAGAGAGGCAAGCCCAGCACTCCAGCCCTCTCACTCACCACGGTGTAAATGGTAAGCATGCTCATCTGCTAACCAAAAGTCTGGCAATTCAAGATCACTCAGTGGCACTTCAGAAGAGAGGCCTGCTAATCTACTTCCCCAAAAATCAGTCACCGATGTCCCTGTGGATCACGGCTCTGCCTTGATGCCCTCAGGGCCTCTAGCGGTCAGAATGGACTTGCTGGCTACTGGTGGGGTTTCCTCTCATCGTGGACTGAGTGCTGCGGGAAGGACGCATCCACCCTGGGGAGTAAGGAGCAGGCCGGTGTCCGCCTGGCTGCACATGAGATCACCTGTGCAGCTTCAAAAGCAGCTGATGTGTGAGCCTGCCCCGTCGGGGCTCAGGAAGGGGCTCGGCACGTTACTGTGTGCTCCTAACACTCAGCCTGGTTTGAGGTCAGAGACATGGAGTCAAGCAGACATGGGAACGGGCCCAGGTTCTGCTGCCACAAGCAATCAGAGGCACTCCAGGTCTCAGGTTCCTGCCTGGGAAGTAGAGATAAAACCACTGAAAGGGCTGCTGTGGCAATTCAATGAGATAAAGCCTGTAAAACTCATATTTAGCATAGTGGCTGGGTTATAATGGGGCCAAGAATAGCACCAGTGGTGATGCTGAGCGATTGTCACGTTTTTTTTCCTGCAACAAAAGAGGCCTGGTGATGTTGGGACTGGGCAGCTTCACCCGGCAGGGTGTGGCCTTCGGCATGAAGACACCTCTCATCCAGTGTCCCTTTCTTGGTCAGCATCCTTGGGACCCTTCTGGCCCTTAGGTAGCCTTTAGTCATGGAGGATGACTAGTGCACTGTCCGAGAGCAGTCCTGGTAGCCACTGCTCATGGGAGGGAACAGGAGAGAGCAGAGGTTGTGAAAGCAGAAGGGCCCTGGCTGGTACCAATGATGTTCATTGGACTAAGGAGTTATGCCACCAACCCAAAGGTAGGCAGTTCAAATCCTCTAGCTGTTCTGTTGAAGAAAGATGGACAGTCTCCTCCCAGGGGATTTACAGTCTCAGAAACATCCCCTGAAGGGTCAGCTATGACTTGGTCCTGATTTGACAGCAATAAACAGTCGTAGTAATAGTACTCGTATTAGTAGTAATAGTAGTACTGACTTACAGATTAGCAGTTCACACTCATCAGTGAGGCAGTGAACGAAAGGCTTAGTGTGGCATGTTTCTGTAAAGATCACAGGCAAGAAAACCCTATGGACCGTGACACTTACTTACACGTATTTGAGGCTGGAATTGCCTCCTCAGCAAAGCGATTCTGCTGGAGGACAGATAATGGTGGGCAGGAAGCAGCAGCCAGCCCAAGAGAGTTGAGTTCAGGGATCTACTGCTCATTGTTCCGAGGTGCCACCAAGAAGCACACACTGTGTTTTCTAAAATGGTCTCTCACCATCTGCTGAGGGTCCCAAATTTACTCATCCGACCGAGGTCTACTCTGATGCGTGAGGGAGCCATGCACCCACCCTACTTCTTCAAACTACAAACATAGGGATGTCCCTGGATCTCCCCAAGCTGGTCTGAGTCTTTAACAAGAAAGTAGTCTATGAAGCAGGGAGTTCTGGTGGCTTAGTGGTAAGGAGTTGTGCTGCCAACCTAAAGGCACGTGGTTTGAATCCACCAGCTGCTCCATGGGAGAAAGATGACCAATTTCCTCCTGTGCCAATTACAGTTCCTGAAAAACTGATAGCTACGAGTAGGTTCCAACAGGACCCGTGCCCAACCACAACACCTATGAAGCAGACACTTCACCTGCTAAGAAGCGGATGGGCTACAGGGGCCATGGAGGCCTGAAGAAAGGGTCGTGGGGAGGAAGCAGGGCCAGATCAGAGCTAGGTGGGTGTTCTCCACAGTCCAACAAGAGAGCTGTTCTTAATCTCTTCAGAGACAACGGAAGCAAAGCCTCAAGGGCTTTCAGAAGGTAACCCCACTAAAACCCAGAACGTGACAGGGCTGGGGTGCACACTCAGGTGGCTGTGAGGAGGGTCTTCTAGAAACCAGAACGTGACAGGACTGTGAGGCTGGAGGAGGCCTTCTTTGGGGTTTTGTGATGCTCTGAGTGATGTTCAGGACCAGAGAAGATGGCTGTTTGGGCCTAGACACCGCCTAGTGACCGCTCTCCATGCTGCCGCTGTGGCTGCTCCTGCTGCCCCTCCGCCCTTCCCCTCGGCGTCTGCCAGTTCACACCAGCCTGCACCCTCCACAGTCGCTCCAGTGCCACCTCTTCCTTCCCACCTGCAAGTCTCTCCTCTAAACTCACAAAGCCCTCCCCCTGTACAACCTACTGTGGTTGTATGTCCTCGAGTTGAGACTGATTCATAGCTGACCCGCCACCAGAGGTAGTGAATCGCATAGGAGGAGACTGCCCATTTTTCTCACGTGGAGCAGCTGGTGGATTTGAACTGCGTGCCTTTGGGTTGGCAGCACAACTTTCTACCACTAAGTCATCAGAGCTTCTTTATTTTATTTTATTACTTTTTTTGTTGTTATGTACCATCGAATCAGATCTGACAGGCACAGGAGGACACTGCCCCTCCTTCTCCTGCAGAGCATCTGGTGGATTCGAACTGCGTGCCTTTGGGGTTGCAGTGCAGCTTCTTGTCACTAGGCTACCAGAGCTCTCACCAGCGCTTCTTCAGTAACCTACTTTTTGTTCCCCTGCCTGTCTCTACCGTCTGGCTTTTTCATACCTCCATGACAGCCCTGTGCTGAGCACATGCTCTGTGATTGTCTGAGGAAAGAAAAAGAAATAGAGAATCTCCTTTTGCCCCACTAAACAGACTCAGGACACAACCTGGCGCTTCCCCTAGCCCCACACGCAAGCTGGCCTGATGCTCTCTGAGTACTGAGTGTGTGGACACAGGTGCTGCTCTGGGTCACACTATACCCTTCTCCTCATCTCTTACGCTGGATGTGTCTGTGGTCCTCAACCAGAGGGTCTCCACTGACTCTTCCATCCTTCCTCAGAAAATCGATTCCCACCTTGTCTGGGGCACAATGGCTCTGTGGGGTGAAGATGGTGGTAAGATGGTAGAGGATGGAAAGGGTTTGAATTCTGAAGTCTGTCATGGGAGGTTTCCAGCCGGGGAGGAAGAGGCCGTTCTCAGTTACAGGGAGGTGGAGGGACACTCAGGGCATCGTGTTCTCTGAGGAGGGTCTGATGAGGAGGGGGAGGCGGGCAGAGGTGGGCCAGTGCTTGCAGACGTCACTCAGGGCTTTATAAAAGGAGAAGTGATCAGGGAACTGGCAAGAGCCAGCAGCTCCCCTCGCTCCGGTGAACACCTGCTCAAGCAGCCTCATCATCGCAGAGACGCGCCCAGCAACCCCCAGACCGGGAGTGAGCCGAGGTAGGTGCCCTGCGGCATCCACACGTGGGAAGGTCCTCTCCCAACCCAGACAAGGGAGCGGGGCGGTCATTCCACATAAGCAGTCGTGGGGGTGGGGGGCTCCTGGTCCTTCCTAACCACTGGTTGGCCAGATTACCCAGGGACATCTGGGGAATAAATGGACTTGCATTTTATTATTTAGAAACCAGGGAATCCCAGGGGCTGTCTGGTCCTGTGGACGGAATCAAGGGTCTCTGAGAAATCTCTGAGGGTCTGCTTAGAGGGCACACAAAAGCTCTTGGAGACTGCACTGCAATCCCAGAGGTGCATGGTTTGAATCCACCAGATGCTCTGCTGGAGAAGGAGGGACAAACTCCTCCTGTACCAGTCAGATTGTACACACACATAATAATAATAGTAATAATAATAACAATAATAACAATAAATAAACAACTCTTGGAGAAAGCAAAGGAATCTCTCAGGTGCATGGCTGAGGAATGGGACTTCTCTGAGCTGACCCGTCAAATTATGGGTGGTAAGTACTACTCCCAAAAAAGGGCACCAACTTGCCCTCCTCGCCAGCCCCCAGCACTAAGGATGGGGAGGTCATACAAGGAAAGAAGTCACCCCTTTTCAGAAGCCCCTTGGCAGGCCTGGACTTCCTCCAGCATTAAGTACAAACGTCCCTGGAGGTGGGGGGAACCACAGATATTGCCCACAACAGGTCAGCCACTTGTGGCCCTGTTAAAGAAGAGGATTTCTTCGTGCAAAAATGCATTTCTATTACGTGTTCAGTGTTACCTGTGGACCAGGGAATGAACTAAGAACTGGGAGGAGGATTTGATAATGGAAGGAACTCGGTCTCTGCTTGGTAAGAGCCCTCAGTGCTGTCTGAACGTGTGTGTGTGTGTGTGTGTGTGTGTGCGCGCGCGCGCGCGAGCATTGCTTTGGTCAGGCAGCAAGATAAAAGCAGTGTCCTCTCACAGTGTGCATGACACCAATATCCCCAATGGGGAAGGTGCACAAACAGAGAATGGAGAGCCTGGAAGAAGAAACACGGCCCTTCCAACTGCACAGCCCACTGCCACCCCGCTGCCTCACTCAGCATGCAGCACGCCCCATCTGAAAGGCAAATCTACACCCGCTGTCCTGTATGAACCCCAGTGTACCCCACACCTCATCACTCTGCTCTCCACACTCTGGCCTGTTAGATGGCAGCTCTCTCCACACTCAGCCCCTGCCCGTCCTCCCCACGCCCCAGCCCTACGTTACCATCCCTGCTGCAGCAGCCTTTGCTGGAAACGGCTTTGTCCACCTTCGTTTACGAGGTCAGGGGACCTGAGGTGCAGCGGTTGGGGTAGTGCAGCTTACTCAAAGGTCGGCAGTTCAAAGCCATTAGCAGCTGCGTGGGAGAACGATGGCGCAGCCTGCTTCTTTCTGTAAAGATGACAGTCCATTGGGCAGTGCTGTGTCCTGTAAGGCAGCCATGAGGTTGGAACTAACTCAACGCCAACTCGTTCACTCATCCAGCTCACTCGTGCCTGCGTGTCCCCTTCTGCCGAAAACCTGCCTGGACCCTCTGGGTCTGGCTCCTCCCTGGTTCTTGCTGCCTCTTCTGGTACCATTTCCAGTGTTAACTTTGAAATGATCTGTTTGTGCATTCATTTCCCATATTTGGGCTATGGTCTCTGGGGACAGACATCTTCCTATATCTGGCATCCATGTCCTGAGCCAAAATAGAAATGATTCTCTCTAATGGACCATTAACTGACACATCAGGTGTCCCTGAATGGCCAAATAGTTGGGCGCTTGGATACTAACTCTCAGTTCATCTGTTCAAACCCACCCAGAGGTGCCTTGAAAGACAATCCAGGGATTTGCTGCTCAAAGGTCACAGCTTTGAAACCCACATGGAGCAAGGAGTTCTGTGTTACACGTGGATGGGATCGCTGTGAGTCAATTGACTCAGAGGAAACGAGTGAGGTTTCTGTTGTTGTTTGAGCCCAAATGATACTCTGTTCTCTTCCCTCTCAGCTCACTTAGCATAGAGATGGTATCCGAGCTTTAAGCCTGCTAATTGCACACGTCTCAGCCTCAGCACCACTGTCTGGGTGTAATCATAAATTTGCTGGATAACCTTTAAGTGTCCATGGCTTTTTCAAGGAGAAATTAGAACTAGGAGCTGGAAGGTATGCATGGGAGGGAGACAAGACATAATGAGTGAAGACAGCACCCAAACACTCAGCTTCTACCTCAAGGGCCAAAATGATGAGGCCCATTCCCTTCATATCCTCTCAGGCTCCACAAAGAACAGGAGATGGAGGATATTGACCTGATAAATCATGAAACATTCTTTTCCCTAAATTATAGGCACTCTATTTAGCAATATGAAGAGCCTTGAGAAAGGGCAATTGATTGTCTCTTTCTTCTTGGAAGAGGAAAATAATTACGTTTCTAAATAGAGAAGGAGGGACTGGACCAGGTTCAGTGGGGCAGCAGGGTGGATTACACAGAGAGAACACGGCACAGAGGGGACACGCGCTCCCAGCTCCACACAGAGCGAGCAAACCCTAAGAGGCTCCGGTCTCTGGCCTGAATCTCGCCCACCCACTCCCCGCTCACTCCCACACACCATCACTCATTTTTCATTCTTTCTATCCTCACCTCAAGCAAAGGAGCTCTTGGTGACGCAGACCCTGGGAGTTTTACTCTTTACCCAGAGGCGCTACCTCGCTGGTGGTCTGAATCCACCAGCAGCTGCTAGAGGGAAAAAAGATGGACAACCTCCTGGAGGGTCAGCTGTGAGCAGGTTCAGACTTACGGCAATGTTGTTCTTCGCAGGCAAACCTGAGATGCCGTATCCAGGCTGTTTCCCCCAATCTGAGCAATCCTGCCCCTCCCCTCAGCACACCTGTCCTTCCTTCCTAACCTTGCTGACCTCACCTCCTAAGGAAGTCTTTCTGAATGACCCTCTCCTAAGCATCACTTCAGTTTGGACTACACTCAACCCCATTCCCATGATAAGCCCGTTCAGACACATCCTCCTTGGGCGAGAGCATCTCCACACACAGGGACTTGCTCCTTTCTCAGGCCAGCTCTGCTCCATGCCTGACTCGGCTCTTCCTCTCTTTCTCCTCCTCAGGACATTTCTAGGACCCACCTCTTTCGCCAGGATGAGCTCATTAGTTTCTTGGAAGCTATTACTTTTCCTCTGTGCCACCTCCTTCGGGGAGACCTCAGGACGCATGGCTTCTGCCAAGGATCCTCAATCCCGAGGTATATATTGTCTGGGGGAGCGAGTGGGAGAAAGTGAGTTATTACAAAATGAGATTTGCCATCATTTTCAGATCACAGTTAGATGAGTTTAAAAAGTTAGATGAGAGTGGGACACTACATTTGGTGGACATTTAAAGTAGCACATAAGCAACTCATTCAGGAGTCCCATGAACTTCACAAAGTAAGCATGGTTTACCACTAGCACGGACATCAGGAAGGAGAAGCCCTGGTTGTGCAATGGTTAAGTGCCGGGCTGCTAACAGAAAGGTTGGTGGTTCTAATCCACCCAGTGACTCTGAGAGAGAGAGGAGAGAAAGAAGAGAGAGAGAGGAGAGAGAGAGGGGGGAGAGAGGAGAGAAGAGAAGAGAAGAGGGAAGGGGAAGGGGAAGGGGAAGGGGAAGGGGAAGAGGAAGAGGAAGAGAGAATCCCTAAGATGATAGCCAAGGCAAGCCAGTGGGGAAGTTATGCTCTGTCACCTGCAGTCACTATGGGTCAGCATCAGCCCAACAACAATGAGGATCATGAAGTTCACAAAGTCCAGGGCTTGTTAAGCCTTGAGCTCCTTCATGATTTCCCCACACTGGGTTCTCTAGCCCATCAACCACCTCTCTGTGCAAGACTGTTGGGAGGAGACTTAATATATTTAAGTTCTTTTATCGATGACCTCAGACCCTTTTGTGGGAAATTTGCAATGAAGAACAACAAATGAATGAATCCCTTTACTACCTGGTAATCTTTGAGCTGGAACTGATGAACTAGAGAAACTGAAGTCCACTGAGGAAGAGAACTTTTCTCGAGATGACTCGCTCCAATACTACCAAAGGCCAGCAGGTGCCAGAGCTCCCCCAAAAGTGCGTCTGCTGAGTGGCACTGGCTAAGACAGCGCTCATGCTCAAACCAAGACTCCTAGTCTAGTGCTACTCCGATGTCAGCTTTCTGAGCAAACTAGAGCCTCAAGTTTGGCCTCTCTGGGCTCCAGTCCTATCTAGACAACTGACCACATACCCTCTATACTTTTGATATTACTGGGCAGACCCAGAAGAGATCCCAGGGCTAAGAGCATGGTCCTGAGCATTCTTTTCCAGAAGTGTCTTCTCTCCTGACATCAAGTATTCTTTCTGTGAGGGGAGCGGTCCCTTCACTTTCAGGAACACTGACTATTTTTGGTAGGTGGTTCTTTTTGACAAATTAATTTAGTTGAGGTCACAAACAGTAGCCTGGACATTAGTCCTATTTCCCCGTGGGAAGCTTAATTGGAAAGGTTGCCATCCTCCCTTCCCACCCCAGCATTCTTCTAGGCAGTGTAGAGGGGTAGAAGGTGCCTCTCAGATAGATTTTCACAAACTTTGGGCCATGCATATGTTCCCCATTCTCCAAGTGTGCCAGGGCACTGAGGAGCAGGGTGCAGAGAACCACTACCATCACACACACACACACACACACACACACACCAGCCCCCGTGTCCACTCATCTCTTGTCACAGCTGGCTAGGGCCACTAGGTAAGAGTAAGTTACACAGAATAAGAAGTTGCACTGTGTTACTGCCAAAATGATACTGAGCAGGTTAGCAGCGAAGTGGGTTAACAAGTGATTTAATTAAAAAGATATTTAAGATAACTAGTAAACATTTACAGTTATGGTGAAGGAGGACAAAGTCATAGAGGATCTGCAGCTTCACTCTTAGATGTCTAGGAACAAACGGGCAGCACAGGATGGACCCCTGAGTAGGTGATGCAAAGTGCCCTTTCCTGAACCTCTGCCTCACTGGCAGCCTCTCCCTGTGGCTCTCTGTCCTAGGTCGGCGGTTCGGACCCCTGGCCCTGCAGGCCCCTTGGGAGCAGCGGTGCGCAGAGGAGGCGCCTGGTTCCGCAGGGCTGAGGCCTCGCAGCGCCTCGTTGTGCCCTCACCCGGACAGCCCTGCGGAGCCCCGGCGGCCAGGCCTGTGCGACCCCCGCAGCCGCTTGATTCCCTCACCCCGCGGCGCGGTGCTGGTGCAGCGAGAGAAGGATCTATCCGCCTACAACTGGAACTCCTTCGGTCTGCGATACGGCAAGCGGCGGAGCGCGCGGCAGGCGTGGCGCGAGCGAGGCGCTGGGAGGGGCTGAGGCTGCGGAGACCCGCCTTGAACTTCAACCTGAGACCCACATCACGGCGCGGGCGCGCTGGGTAAGGGGCTGCAGGCAGGGCCAGCCAGAGTGGGACTGGAGTTTGGTACTGAGGTAATAAAATAAACACTGCCACCATGACAGAGTGTGATTTGTGATTTTTTGCAGTCAGCCCTGGTAGAGTTGTGCCTTTCTCGCTCAATGAGATTTGCAGTTGTTGTTAAGATAACGTTCGCCACGAATCAGCATCAACTCTACCACGGCAGTGCACTTGGTTTTGGCTGGTGACCTTAAGGTTAATGCTTCTCAAGGTGTGTGGTGAAGAGAAATGTCCGCGATCTTTTTGCTTCAAAGAAAACAAAACCTCAGAGCAATAAAGAGGCACTAGACTGGTGACCAAATTCGGCGGGTGATATGTTTACATTCATATTTGCACATGCTGTGAGTATATCCATGTATACAGAGTCAACGGGGCAAAAGGAAAATATAATAACAGCAAAAAAAGAATTTGCATTGCAATCTGGAAGGCACACAGTTCGAATCCACCAGCTGCTCCATGGATGGGCCATCTCCTATGTTGTTATTGCTATTGTGTGCCATCGAATCAGAACCAACTCAAGCTGACCCTCCAGTGGGTTTTCAGAGACATAAATCGCACAGGAGACGGTCCATCCTCCCACAGAGTAGCTGGTGGTTTTGAACAGCTGCCTTTGGCATTGTAATGCAACCTCTTATCACCAGGCCGTGAACATTGTCCCTAAAATGTTATAAAATTGCTGTTGTCATGTGCCATCGAGTTGCCTGCAATTCATAGTGTCACTATGCACAATAGCTCTGAACCCTGCCCTACTCTGAGCCAGTCTCACTGATTCTGACACACCTACCCCCTTTACCCTAGTTACTGTATCAATCCATCTCATCTGGGGTCTTCCTATCCTGTGCTGTCCCTCCACCCTTTCAAGCATGATGTCCTTCTCCAAGGACTGGTCCCTGCTGGCAACACGCCCAATGCATGTGAGAAAGAGCTTTAAACTCCTTTCCTCCAAGGAGTAACTTGGCTTTACCTTCTCCAGGACAGACCTGTTTATTCTGTTGGTGGTCCCTTGAATGTTCAATACTCTTCTCAGCACCACAACTCAAAGGCATTTATTCTTCTTTTGTCATCCTTAGTCACTGTCCAGCTCTCTGACGCAAGGTAAGTAATTTCTAGGACCATGGGCTTGATCAGGCACACCTTAGTCTCTAGACTGACACTGTTGCTCTTTGGCACTCTGGAGAGGTCATTGACAGCAGGTTTTCCAAATGCAATTAAGCTTTTTACTTCCTGACTCCTGGTTCCAAGTGTGTTGATTGTGGAACTAAGCAAGCGGAAATTGTTAACATCAGTCTCTTCTCGATGCTGCCAGTTGGCCCAATAGTGAGAATCTTTGTCTTCTTTTCTTTTTTTTCCCCCCGGAGGAAAAAAAAAATTCATTCTTTATTTAAAAAAAAAATCTTTTTTTCTTTTATACTCGCTTATTTACAAAGTCCGTTTACATTGTTTGTCACACTAGATATTTCCGCCTCCCTCCAACTGTCAAATTGTTCAATATCCTTTGATTATCGCCACCTCCCCACCCTTGCTATTGCCCCCCCTTGGATGTTCATACTCCTTTTTAAAAAAATTTTTTATTATTAATTTCAATGAAAATTTACAGAGACTTTGGGTTTCCATTCATTCATTGTTGCTCTTTTCTCCCCTTCCAACCCTCCCTCCCCCAGTACAAGTACACTCCCCTCTTGGAAAAGTAAGAGGAAAATTCATTGTTTTACAATCCCTCCCCTCAGAGCCACTCCACTATGCAGCCTTTGCTCTGAACTGTCATGACAAAAATACCTAATCACATAACCCTTTTAAACAGTTTTCTCCCTCATCTGTTTCAATGCAGTGTACATTATTGATCCCATCTTTCTCAGTCTCCCCTCAACCCTGAGGTCAGTCCTGTTTTACAACAGTGGCACCATGCAGTATTTGTCCTTTTGTTACTGAGATACTTCACTCAGCATAATGCCCTCCAGGGTCACCCATTTTGAATAATATTGCATGAGTTCCTTGTTTTTCAATGCAGCATAGTATTCCATTGTGTGAATATACCACAGCTTCTCTATCCATTGTTTGCTGATGGGATAATCTTTGTCTTCTTGATGTTTACTTCAATCCATATTGAAGGCTGCGGTCCTTGACTTTTTATTGTAAATACTTCAGGATCTCTTCAATTTCAGCATGCAAGATTGTGTCCTCTGCATAACACAGGTTGCTAATGGGTCTTCTTCCAATTCTGAGGCCACATTCCACCTCCTAAAGTCAAGCCCCTCAAATGATCTGTTCCCCATATAGATTAAAAAGGTATGTATCCCTGACACACTCCTTTCCAGATTTTGAACGGAGATGGATTGATTCGGTGACTGGGGTAATCGGGATGGGTGTGTCAGAGGCAGTGCAGTTGGCGCAGGATAGAGCAGGGTTTAGGGCTGTTGTACATAGGGTTGCTATGAGTCGCAAACGACTCGATGGCACATAACAACAACAACAGTGTTTCCTTGCTCTCTTCTGATCGTGGCTTCCTGGTTCAAGTATAGAGTTCACGTGAACACAATCAAGTGTTCTGGGATCCCCATTCTTCTCAAGATCAGCACAGTTTGTTGTGATCCACACACTCAAATGCAGTTGTTTAGTCAATGAAACACACATAGACATTTTTCTGGTACTCTCTGCTTTCATACAAGATCCATCTGACATTGGCTATGAAGCTCCTAGTGCCACAGCCTCTTCTAAACCCAGTTTGCTCTTCTGGCCATTCTCTGTCGATGTACTACCAATCATTTTTGGATGATCTTCAGCAGGAATTTGCTTATGTGTGATATTAATGATACTGTTAGACGATTTCCATTCTATGTTGATCATCTTTTTTTGGAATGGGAATATATATGGATCTCTTCAGTCAGTTGGCCAAGTATTATCCTCCAGCCTTCTTTTCTTTTTTCCACATGGAGCAATCTCACTTTTCTTATAAAAATACTAATGATATAAAATATAATGTGTAGTAATTACTATATGAAAAACAAAGTACACATACAAAACATGATGTATATGAATAAATTTTAAAAAAATAGGAAAGGCCATTTGTAATGAGACAATAATGAACATTATGAAAGAGGGGAAAGATCACATGAGGAAGTAAATCCAGTAATAATACACAGGGAACACTATTATTGTTAGGTATTACCAAGTCTATTTTGACCTATAATGATCCCGTGTGACTGAATAGAATACCCCAGATGACACTCTGGGCTGTAATCTGATGGGAGTAGAGAGGCAGGTCACTCTCCCTGGAAATTAAACTGCAACATCTGAGCACCTAATGGTTGTTCCACCAGAGTTCCCTAGTATTTAACGCCATAAGTGCTGCTGGAAATCAGTTTGAAAGTCATCTACAGGAGCTGGTTCTACAGAGGCTGTTGGCTGGGATTGGTGAGCAGTAGGGTGGAATGTTGATTCACTAAGGGGAGTGAGGTGATGTGATAAGACCTCCTATTTAAAAACTGATTAGGGTCCTCTGGCCTGCGGCTCTCGGGTCTGGTTTAAATTGTTTTTTGTCAAACATTCTTCTAAGTGGTATAGCACTGGTTTGTGCATTTCTGTACAGAGGTAACTTGTGGTAGCTGTGATGCTAAACACTGTGACACTGATGTGTTAAATAGGAGAATGGTTACTCATGGTGGACAGTGTTTGGTGGAGCTTCCTAATTAAAGCAAGCTTAGAAGCAGGAGTGGAATCCACTTCCAAAATGGCTTGCCTCCGGAGACTGTGAACATGGGAAACAATGGAAAGTTATACAAGTGTTCAGGTCTTTCATTAATAGGGTCGCTATGAGTCGTCTATGACTCGATAGCACTTAACACCACCACCACCACCACACCATAAGTGCTGAGCTTCATTTTACTCAAATGGGATGTAATGTGTTGGTAGAATGGCTGTGTGTTAAGAGAAAGGAAAAGAACTGTGTGTGGTGTCTGCCTGCCTGTGCTGTAGTGGAATGCTGTTGTTGTTGTTGTCGTGTACCATTGAGTCGGAACTGACCTGTATAGCCGACCCTTTGCTGGGTTTTTGAGACAGTACATTGCATGGGAGAGAAATCGCCCATCCTTCTCCCACAGAGCAGCTGGTGGCCTCAAACCATGGGCCATTGGGATTGCAATGCAGTTTCTCGTCATTAGGCCACCAGAGATCCCTGTAGTGGAATGGCGAGGAATAAAATAAAAAGAAATCATCATTGACCATAAGGAAGATCATGAAATACTATATTAAACTCATCACTGAGAAAGGGCTACTTTGACAAGCAACTTCTTTAGAAATAGGGACAACAATAGCAGAACAGCTCAGAGAGGAAAAAACTGTCAACTCTGGGGAGCAGAGCTAGGGCCTGAAGAGTGGGGACAGGATTGGAGACTGCCAGTTATGATGCTAAGCTTTCAAGTTCTATTATTATTGTGTATTTTGTTGTGGTCAAATATGTCTAGTGCAATCACCAACTTTAACATTTTTAAATGTGTAATTCAGGGCCATTAATTATATTCACCAAGTGTGAAAACTTTACCACTTAAACTACATCCAAAATGTTTTTCATTTTTCTTGGGTTTTAAAATTAAGAGTAATTTTGTTTTGTTTTTTTTATAATATGAGAGAGAGAGAGAGAGAGAGATCCTTATTCAGAGAAAGGTGTTTCCCTAGCCAACCATCCTGCCACCGTGGCTCTATTTCTGCTGGTGATACACCCCTCTGCAACACCGTCTTTCAGAACTGCTGCCCCTGCCTCCTGGTCCTCACCCCACGGAGCCCTTCTGTTGTCCACATCCCCCTCTGAGAACTTTCCAGCTTAATCTTGTTTGATAATAAAACACATTTCAACTGCTGTTTGGAGAAAGCAGGTTTTTATGTTTCCAGCTTTCATGCTTCAGGA